GATGAGGTTTCGGAAACTATAATCCGAAACCCGAAACTTTCGGATTTGGCCAAAAAGGTTTCGGTGACCAACTCTAGCGTAAAATTACTTGCGAGAAAGATATATGGTCAGCAACAGATGTGAATATCTTCGATACATTAACACCACTAGATCGACCTATTTCTTTTTTGGATGGCCGTGCTTTGAAAAATATTGTTGGCGAACCGGATTTTATCATAGTTGATGATAATATTAAACTTCTTATGCCCTGGGAATCTAAAACTAAGTGGGTTTTGAATGTGCTTCCGGACCAAAACATTGTTACGCTCTATAATGAGGAAAAGGAATTTCGAGAGGGACCATATGCTTATTCTAATGATATTTCGGTATATTATCCTATAAACCAAATATACGGGTACATGTGTGCTAACAAAACAAGGTTAAAATTTTCTTTCAATCATTAACAGATTGTACATGATAATTTTATACTTATTTACGATAATAGATATGGTATCTTGTCAACATACAACCAAACTTGGTTCCTTGAAAGAGGAGTAACTGGAGAAGACTATGGATGGTTGCATGTGTCAGACGCCATTACAAACTCTTCAATTAATCCCACGTTACTTAAATCCGTCGCTTATATAATCAACCTTGCGTCTATTGATCGTTACGCACCTTTCCTTGAAAAACCTATAATGGTTGCTGATAATGCTAACAAAGACGATGATGATTGTGATGATTATTTTTCCGAAAAGAAAGGTGACAGAGAATTTAAGTACAAGGGTAGCTTACTCCGGAATAGTCCGAATGTTGTAACCCGAAGTCAGAGTCGCTAGACACTCGGATCTTTGGATCTAATGAGAACTTATGATGAAAATTATTTGAAAATTATTTGATTAAAGGGTTATCGGTCGATGGACATGACCCTCCTACTGTTTCACATACAAAATCTTCTATGTTCTTTACAAAAGTCCCAGCGTTACCAACAGTCGAGGGCGCAGTCACATGATCTCCGACCTTACGATTCTCCGAAAAATTGGTTTTGAAATTTTTCAAAGTTTATTTTTCGTGCTTTTACTAATCCTTTATCATTATTATTATTCTGTGCA